TTCCGAGCGTTCGGAATGCTTTCGGCGCGGGCTTGGCTGGCGATTTGGCCATTTGGCGCCATGCCAGCGCGAAGTGGCTCCCGTTCTGAACTGATCTTTACCCCGTGTTTGCTGTCGTTTTTTGCGAATGAAGTGTTATGCCGAATTATTCGTTAATCGCGCAACAAATGTAATGCGAGCCGCCCTGGCCACCTGTTTCTTACAGCCTATCAAACACGTGCTTTAGTGGTGCCCTCTCGAGCCGTCGACATGGAGTGCGGCAGCCGTGAGAGTTCGATTAGCTCACTACTCCTCCTCTAGTTCATGGCCACTAAAGCCAGGACCTACGACGTCATGAAGGAGGTTATTTTTTGCACGTTTTTGTAATTCTAATTTGCCTATAACTTTTAAAATAAAGCGAAATTTGAGAAAAGAGAAGTTTCTTTATGTTACTACGTTCAGTGCGTTCAGGTTCGGTGCAAATTAAAAACCAGTCAAAAAGTTGTTGTAGGGCCCCTTAAAGAGGGGGCGCACCTCAGAGCCCCATAGAGAATACATGAGGTTTTTCCCCAGCTTAGAAAAATTCTCACATTATAACGGCTGCGCGGATCTTCTTGAAATATTCGGCTTTAAAGACATTGAGGCATTATCGAGACATTAAGCAGAACAAACGTTTTATTATAAATTTAGTTACATTCCTTAAAAAATCATGTAAATGGTGAAAATCGGCTAATTCGGCACTCTTGCGTTCGGAGCGAATTTACAAAATTATCTAAGTGCAAACAGAAAACGTATTTCATTTACTGTCTTCTAAATTTATTACGGAATCGAATAACATCAAATTTATTCATGTAAGTAGATCTGTTTTGTAACTACAGAGAATATATAGAACCAAGGTGTCGGTCCTCGTTTTCATTGTTTTTAAGGTGCCTCTCTTTCCCGTGAAGTGGCGCTGGATGTCCACGATATCCGAAATCGACCGTTCGGCGATCGGCCGGATCGGCACTCTGCAAGGTGTTCTTCCGCGGCCGTATTCGCGCCCGTGTCCCAGTTCATTTTGCACGCCGAGGCGTCAGTGTGCGTGTCTCGCTTTCCTGGTTCTCGGTGGATAGGTCTCCGTGTTTTCGCACGTGGCAAATTCACCTTGGAGTTATGGGTCGAAGACAACCGTCCTATGGCAAGCGGACCGCGAGGTGTTCCACAACCTCGTAGTCCGTCAATGCGTTGTGCTTGTTTGTACTTTTTTTTTTTGGCGCACAGTTTTATTTTATCGTTACCTTTCACACAAACGTCCTTCGGCTTCGGGGTCGTGGAAATCGGGGATGAGCACCGTACGGTTCGTGGTCACCGCAATCTGATGCGGGGAAAAACAGGTCACCTGCTCTATAGTCAGGGTATTCCTAGGGGAGGGGATAACTCGCTGTTCTCCTGGAAATTCACATATTGCCCAAAAAGGCGAAATGGGTAGTATTTAGGGTACCTTTTTTCCGGTGTTTATTTTTGAGCAAAAATCGGCGCATGTTTTTGGGTGCTTATTTTTCTAAACACCAGCGTATTATGGTTGAACGTCTCGTGATGACGCTGAAAAGTGTTGATAACGGAGGAAAAAAATGCGAATGGACAAGAAAATTTCAAATTTCCAATTCTATCCACGTATCTCATACGCTCTTCTCGTGGGAGAATCTATCCCAACGAAAAATGCCTACGTCATGTAGCTGTGAACGCATACGCAGTGTACAACCTTTTGGCCAAGAGATCTATTGCACACGCTCGAACGCGCTTCACAGCCCAGTAGACGAAGCTAGTGGCACCCAGAAGGCGAGTTTTTGAATGGTCTGTAGTAGGCAAAAGAAACAAATAACAATCAACGCATCCCAGTTCCCCAAGCGAAGAGGCGCGTTTCTAAGGTCATTGGTTCCGGACGATACAAATGTTGTTGGCGTTGTGTTCCAAGAACCACACCGACCTCTGAATAGGAACTGGAAGGATGGAGGATCGACGAGATAAAATGTTTCACAAACTTCTACACAAGGCGTTTCGAAGAAACTAGCCGTCGCTAGGGCGGGAGCAGTCACCGACTGGAGTATTTTGGTTTTACACAGGCCCAATATTCCCAACCACCGGAGTTTTTTGGTGTTAACCAATTTAGTATTTTCGTCACCGGCGGATGTTTATCAACTCAGAATATTAAAGGTTCTCCTGAAAATTATGTTTATTTTTTTCTTGGTGAATAGAGGTGATTTGTTGAGTTCAAAACTTCACATTATCAAAATAACAAACATCAAAATCCTGAACACCGGATAATGAAGATACTAAAAGGCTAAGGTGCCGGAAGGCAACCCTGAAATGCAACAATATTTATTTACTTTGACTTCGAAACGTATTTTTGTAAGGAAAACTGAACTAGGGCAAGAAAGAAGGGAGAATGAAAGGGCCGGGAAGGGAAAGGTAGTTCGGAAGAATAGAGTGAGGAGAATAGGGAGTTTCAGCAGAACGTTTCCGCAGCCCGCTAAGCGCCATTTTAGGTCTGCGTTATCCGTCACGAGACCTTGAACTATGCAGAAAAACTGGAGGCGTGCATGCTCAGTTGCGGCGCTTTCTTTGGGGATACTGACGCGGAAAAGAAAAACGGCCTGCTAAATCTCAGTATCTCCAAAGCTGACTAGTAACGTCACGCAGAGGAAACGGCGGCCAAACGTTTCGGGCGTAGAAAATCAACCTCCTTTCGAGATATGCTCATGAAGGTGGTGCATATGTTATGTTTGAAGCGACGCATAGCAAACGCCTCAACGATCGCGATTCATTTTAAAGACTGACCTACGCAAATGATAATCTACAACGCGGTCAAAAGCGATGTCTTGGGCACCCCGATAAGCCGTTTTTGTTCGCACTGCGGATTATCGGTTTCCCGAAGTTAGCACAAAGAAGTTCAAAGTGGGGAGTTTCTGTGTGCCTAACAGAAAACGAACCACCCTAAACATTCCATAGCCTCGCTCAGTGAAGTGGCCTACTAATCCTTGGGGTCTCGTGTCTGTTCTGAAAACGGAGAAAAAAAGAAACTCTTGAACGTTTTTGTTTAGACCTGAGTGACACACCACACCCCTTTCGCAACAAGAGTCGTAGCAAATTTCTACCTCTCCTACAGACCGCTTCATGTTTCACTAGGAGGATCGGAGAGAAAAAAAATGCCCTCCCCCTCTCACCCCGTATGTTGTCTGCTCCGCCGTGTGGGCTGTACCTAGCATCCGGATGGCGTTCAAACTCGGTTTAAAATCGCGTCATTTTGGAAATTTCAAGCGCAGATGCGCGGACTTTGATGTGTAATGTGTAATGCTATGTAATGTAATATAAGCCAGTAAATAAAACCACCAGTAGGTCCACAGCCATTACCACAAGCAGTGGGTTTACAAGCAATCGTCGAGCCACCTCAGGTCACCACGGCTTCCCCAACTTTGCATAGGTGCATGCGGACTAGAAAGTATTTGCCTTAATTGCGTAAAAGAATAAAAGATTGGTTGAGCACGGGCTCTCACGTACTTTAGGACGGAAACCTTCTCGTGGGCGCGGTCGCACGCCCGGCTGCCATAAAAACCAGTGGGCGAATAAGTACGGTTTCTCGTATTCCTCTCATGCTGCATTACTTCAGGGTGTTTTTCGGAAATGGGTGGGAATCTTCGGCACACTTGCTTCGTGGCAAGGCGATGCCGTTGAGACGCATCTCTCTTATCTTCTTCCATCTTGGGCATGATCTTGCAAAGCACACGGCCGCAGGACGCATGCGAGCTCATCGGGAACGCAAAAAATTACTATTTATTTATACTCATATATAATGTCGAAAGCAACAGGAAGAGCCTTTACCGTAGGCCCCGCAGACGAACGCCGATAGATGTAAGTCCTATCACACATATCCCGCTATAAAGTCTTTGCCCCCCCCCCCCCCCCCCAGCGTAATCAAGCATATATGAATTTTTCACAAGAAACGTGGTGGAGGACGTGGACGTGCTCACGCATTCATGCGCGAGCAATCAAGAAGTCACTTACTTAGCCGCAGTAAAGCCTGGGTAGATTTTAATAGGATTCAAAGAACCGCAAATCTGTCACATGCTGGGACGTACTTCAGACGAAAATCGCGTCTACGCCAATGTAGTGTGTCGCTGCGGCGCGGTTACGTGATCTAGTTTAGACCAATCGGAGCGTGCTTTCAAAAGGGCTGCGAGTCTGCGGCTGCCACAGCAGACGAATAGGAGGAGCAATCGCGTCCGTATGCAGGATACCTCATAAGCCGAAATGCGGCGCCTCGCCTGCACCTAGTAGGACTGCCCGCGGCACGATAAAACGATGGCGTTACTTGGATAACTCAAGATATCCAGCGCTTTAAGCCACGATTGCCTTGCGCGCCATCTGCACTGATCATGTACTTCCACCCCTCCTAAAGCCTGCAGCTGTTTGGGGGCACAATATATAGAATTGATTAATATATTGATTGATGTAATGACTTAGTTGTGTATTCAAGTATTTTCAAAAGGGAAACAACGATGTCCCACGCACTCAAATGTCTAATTTGAACTTATCGTGTGATTCAGTTTACGATCTTGAGAATTTACAATGGGATGTTTCAGAAAGATAAATTTTAAAAAAGGCATATCAGAAAATTTATAAAAACAGGTGTGTCCTAAGTCATGGTATTGTTTTAAATTAAAACCAATTTCACCGAGACATTCTGGCAGTTTTTCGTATTGTAAATCTCCTTTTTCTCGAAGTATCAAACATACTTCTATATAACACCTTCCTCCTATAACCTCGAAAATAGTTGGCCCTGCAGGATAGGAAGTTATGTGGTTGTCACTTATAGTGACTACGTAAATAGAACTACACCGTTTGCATTTTTATCTTGAAATATTTGCAGGACAAGAACAAATGAGTATTTCGTATATCAAATCGAAGCAGTACCGGGAGATACAATTCCCAAAATCTCGTGCTTAGCAGCAGTAAACACAATTCAGTGCCCAAGGTTTTTTTATTTACAATAGTGTCAGGGTATCGTTATCAGTTGTCGGAAAGTATTTATTTCCGTGGCAAAATCCACTCAAGCAGATGCCGAGCCCGCCTTTTTTTAGCTAAAAAAGAAGAGACATGTTTCGGTGAACATTTGGTTTCTTAATCAAATGTAACAAATTGGTTGACATAGAGCTAAATGACGTTTAACACGACACTTTTCTGCGGCACAAGCCATAACTGAGCATACGCGTCTTTGTGTCTTTCGCGAAATAAATAATTAAATGTGCGACATAAAAAAATATATCTTAAAAGATAGGTCATCCACAAACAAAAATCATCATATTACTTTGCAGTTTTTATTACAATACATAAAATAGGTCTAAAGCACTAGCAAATATTTGAATTCAAGATAATATTTTACAGAAAGAAAATTGTGTTATCGCCCAAATTTGTCTTAAATTGAGTAAAGTCTTCATTATTAAATTATTTACTCATATATCGTAGACCTTTAGAAATAAAACGGCTAATTGTAGCCGAGGAACAAAATTTCACATGTTTACATTATTCAAGAAAAAAACATAAATCAACTACGCATTATCACAATAAAGAATCAGGTCATAGGTGGTTCTGAAGCTTTTCACAATAAGTTATCCATGTTTCAAAAGTGTATAATTGTCTAAGTGATAATCACTGATCTCTATAATAATTTGTTGGATCGTGCATCCCCGCTTTGTCGCTGCAGCTTGAGTGCGGCCACCGGAAGGAAGAGGAGGATATAAGAGCATGCGAGGATTTTAGAAACACAAAACTTTAATCCGAAAGATTATTGAATACACGCAAAGCTAGTTCTTAGATTGTTGGGACTGGGATGTACTACAGTGTTATCTGAAGGACTTTCCTTAAAGGCGCATGAGGTGCGCTTTCTGCCCGTTGACTCAGGAGACACTCTACCATATAATATTATTATGTTGGTTGCATTACACTATCTGGAAGAGCCGTAGGGTAGCGCGGCATGCCAAGGTGATGTACAACCTGCAAGCCGGTTCTTTTCTTGTAGTATCCTACATATTCGAGAGGTGTGTCAGGCTCTGGGAGATGTCCCAGATTGGTTTCCTCTCCTCGACGGGCTGGTTGCTTTAAGATCCTTCTAGTCAAACAGTGTTGGCCGTAACTCGTCTTGTATGTTAGCAAAATGTTAGCCTGCGGGGCTTTTTTCTGCACTAAAAGCATTGTGGCAATAAATATGAAAGGATGTAAAGCTAGCTTTCTTTGCCTTTGTTGTTCTAACGCGTGAAAACGCTAAAGGTCGGCGTGGGACACTGCGCGTTCACGTCCGCAACAATTCCTTTGGTGCCAACAGTATGTCCTACCCTATTGACGTTTGGAAAAAAAGAAAACTCATTTAACGCGAAAGAAGGTAAAACAAAAAACTCTCCCGGCTCAGTCGTAGAGTTTCGGTTGCAAACTCGTAGGCTCTTTGGTTTGATTCCTGTCATGGGGCATTTAGTATTTTGCTCTTTCTTATATAATAATTACCACTTCTCAATTATGTTTTGTTTCGTACAGGTTGTCATCTTAAGTACGAGTTACGCATTTCATAGCGGTTTCCGTGGTGTTCTGTTGCACTTTCTAAAGACGTTATTAATATAAGCCAAGGAACGGCAAATGACTCTTCAGCACTACTTTCTGGCTGCAAGTTTTTACATTTCAAATTCAGCGGTGTAACGTCAGTAACAATCGTTACACAGATGCGCAACTTGCGACATTTCTAAATGTCTAAAAAATGCTGTCACCTTCTGCGTTATCACGCAAAGACGTGAATGAAGTAAGGAAGAGTCGGATTCGGGAAGGAGGACGTGGATGCTTTACGAGCTCTTCCTCGCACTATAAATTTAACAATTTTGTTTTCGCAATTAACTTTTGTTTGGGGATAATGTCACGTGCTTCTGCGTATATTTGTTTGTGTTGAGTCACGATTACTTTACTACCGAAATATTTCTTACAATGCATTAAGCGACCATTGCTCATGAAGAGTGGATAGATTTGGTGTCGTAAATACGGTCAAACCTTCAGTCTAGTTACACGCCTGCACGTTAGCATGCAGGCGTGATCTCTCGTTCTAAACGGTCCAATTCAATTGGAACGCAGTCAGCCACAATTAAACACAAATATGTAGACCAGCGTTTATCTAGTCTAACCTTAACCCAATCTATAATATATTTGAAACAATGCGACAGGGCCCTCACTGGTACGTGTTTAATAGTACTCACTTTGCATTCGGTACGATCCTTGTAAATTCCGTAGGAATACCCGAAGTCAGCTGATTGGCAAACATACAGGCAGTTTTCCACAGAATCGTCCTGGAGAATGCAAGTTAGAAAAAAGCCATGACTCACTCTTTATAAAGCAGCAATAACATTTGCTTCCCAACATCATTGGGATAGAATTAGATATACGGGGAGTTTCAGGTAAACAACGCAAATAAATAAGAATAGCTTCTGCACGCTACGTATCTCGGAACAACGCAGTATTTTTTGCAGTCCTATTGAGCGAGTCATAAAACTTTAGAGATAAACACAAGTGTCTAATTAACAAACAATAAATAGCTAACTTTTTTAAACATTGCTTTTGTACGCACACCATCTAATACAAAAATTGCAAAGCGCGTTGAAATAAACAAATTGTGTCGTTCGTACTGAAGGTAGTATTCTGTTTAATGGATTTAAACATAAAAAATGGCGAGATTTAAAAATAATTACGTGTGCACGTGGGACTTTTTTTAATTATCGCGCGATAATTACGAGGTTTCAGAACACCTCAATACTAAATAAACACACGTAGGCCACCTTGTGGAAAATGTCACGATATGTTCCTAAATGTGCTCCACATACTTTGCATTGGACAATCTGCGCACAAATTTTTGTTTTGAAAAGTTAGGTAATTCGTTTATTTTAAGTAGGCACTTAGGCACATCGCCAAAATATCTGGGGTCGCCTAACAAGTCTGTGAACGATTCTGCATTGGTTCGACGCGCGTAGCATCCATCATATATTTTGATACGTTATTGTCACAAATTAACTCAAACACACTGCCTATGGTTTCTATGAAAAAGTATTTAACAAAACCATAAACTTAGTTTTATAGCTCAATATTGAGTTGCCTGTTCACTGCAGAATATTGCATTTGCTTGCCAATGAGCTGTTGTGCCTAAATAACCAAATATGAAAAATGGGGAAGAAAGTTAAACAATAATATCATTTCTACTTTACGTCTGGCTTGTATTGCGTTTTATAATTATATTTATTTGTTTTCTAACTCACCGTTGACACTGGTTGGCAATTATGAAACTGGGCTTGCAACTCAGGAAGTTGGCTCCATACTTGTTGAATGTTCGCTGTCGTAATGGAAATGTATGAAATATTAGTTTTGCGTGGTATTGGGCATGGCTAAAGACAAACCTTCGGAATGTGTAGTTTATAACAAATTCCTTAAAAAAAGAATTAAAAAACGGTATGTTGGAGGAACCCGGGAATTGAAACATAAAGCTGGATCTTTTTATGGATATTATTGTCAGTTTATGAACGTCGCTTGCTCCTTTAAGTAGTTGGGCTAGTGAAACGCTCTCTAAGAAATGCTTTCCTTTGAAAATAACTCTATATCCTTAAAATAAACTATCATTCGTTTATGATCCGCTTGAAATGGTAATGTTTTCTCGAGGAGAAAATTCGACGTACAAATATAAACAATTTAAAAACGGAATATGAATTTGTTGTATGTAGTTTAAGAACCAAACCTGAAAGATGTTCGTATAGAAGAATTAAATAGTTGTATGGTTGTGTGTGGAACGTTACAAAAACTTGTTCCAAAACTTACGCTGTCGGGGATAATGTAAACATTCAGCAAAAGCAACTATTTGAGAAAAACAAACTCCGCTGCCAATGTAGCTTTCGAACGGCTGCCGCATTGCGGTTTTATGAAATAAAACGCCATCTGCTCCAGTGGCACTCCACTGCATCTTTCTGCGTCACGCCTACTTGATTATGGAACACCGTAAGTTACGTGATTCCTACAAAACTACAATATCCGATGCTGTACCCATCGCCTGATAAATGGACTAAAATTTGAGGTTCCAATAATTCCGCTCAAGAAAAACGTTTTTGGTGAGTTAATAAGGCAATACCACGGAATCTTCTCATAATATTTAATTTGCGGGTCTTAGCGGATTAGACCAGGTACTTATAAGCTTTCTCATATAGCAATAACCAGCTTAATTAGGGATAAGTTTTTATATTTCTTTGTACAGTTTCATATGACCAATACCGGCATTATGGACTACTGCAGCTTATCGACCAAAATTATCTTGATGACACGTTGAAATTCTATGATGCTTTATAACCGTGATTGTGTTACATCAGGCTTAACTGGAGTGCGGTTGACGCAATGAAAAAGCCTTTGACATGATTTTTCTCACTTTCCCGAAGGAACATATCATGAGCATATCTGAACAAATATTCTTCTGGGACCAATGTTGCGTGAAATGTTACGCGCTACAGCTTAACTTTGTTTTGTTGTGAAACACAGTTGTGACTCTCCATGTGACCTTTGGGGAGGTTCTTATTTATTTTACCCTTCTCAAATATCAAATACTTCTCGAGGGGAAACTTTTGTCTGGAATGCTCCACACTAACAGGTCAAAGTCCCGTCCGAATAATCGACAACGAGAGCTGAGGAAGAGATAACACTCGAGCCACCAGTATTGCTTGTCGGTCTTGTCCTTTCCTTTATTTTTTTATTCTTCATTTAGAAGTTACCACACACTGCACGAAGGCCTTAGTTCAGGAGAGTTACAAACGTGATTTTTTTTTCTTGCTTCAGTTGGCAGAGCACATTTGCTAGTCACAATCGCTTTGCTAGTCAAAACACAATTGTGTTTTGCAAGCCCCAATGTTGCCCTATACACGTGGAACCAGATAACCCTATGTACACCCGTCGGAAATAGGAAAATGAATACGTTACCTGGTTTCTGGCCTGTTTTACAGCTCCCTAAAGCTATATTAACTCTCAACGTCTAAAATGGCACGTGGCTTGGGGGTCTTAATTTTGCGTTCTAGCCCTCTTCTGGAACAGAACTCGCTCCAAAAGTTGCAGGAGCGTCAAAAACGAGAAGATGGCTGTTCACCTTCATCTCGTTCAAGAGTGTACTTGCCTGCTGGCCTGTGACAGCACCCCACGAGCGTATTTGCGCTTCGTTTGCGCTCAAAGGTTCCGTGTATGTTGATGCTTCGCAAACTCTATGGTGACAGCGTAGAAAAACAATCCCACACCACATACTCAGAAAGACAAGCACACGCGCTGAACTTACAAGTCTCGTGTATTCAACTACTTCGTTCGTCTCTTAAACGTCTGGATTGACTCTCCAGAACGGAATAAGCAGAAGAAATAGCACAAAATACAAAAAAGGCTAAAATCAGGGCAAAAAACAAAAAAACAAAAAGAAAAGAAAAGGAAAAGTAAAAGAAACGAGAAAAGGAAATCCTTTTTTTCGTATCTTTATTTTTACGTTTATTTATTTTTTTTTACATTTTTATTGTCTTTGCCTTGTCTTTCGCCTTTTTGTAGTTTGCGCTATTTCTTCTGCTTATTACGTTCTGGAAAGTCAATCCAGACGTTTAAGAAAAGAACGAAGTAGTTGAATACACGAAAGTTGTACGCACAGCGCGTGTGCTTGTCTTTTTGAGTAACTAGTGAGTGATTGTTTCTCTGCGCTGTGACCGTAGAATACGATTCACTAACTGGCCCAAATATCCATCATATACCGCAATGCTTCGCACCTCGTCTCGTCAAATTTAATAAAGTTTTTGTTTCTAAGGTCAAAACATGACTTCCTGTCCTTCCTCCGAATGTAACACGCAGCAGAGCATTCCAACTAATAGTACAGCAGTAGTTGTAATGATATATAAAGCACTCAACTTCGTGCCTTAGGACGATGTATTTTGTGTCGTTCATTTCTATTGTGCCACGTTTCCTGGCTGATTGTGCTGCACCTCGACAAGGTTTCCAATCTCATCAAGCCTCCAATGGTAGGGCATGTTTTAGATTTTTCAGGCCACATAAAGTGTGCAAAAATGACTGCAGGAAGCAGGTTTACACAAAGCCTTTGATCAAAAACTGTTAACGAGTGCCTGCTTGAAGTATTGGCGATGCAGAATGTTAGGTTGGTAACAATACTTGGCAAAGAGCTAAGTGCAAAACAAATTATCATTAAAATCGCTAATTGTGTTATTCTCGACATTATAAACATAAAAATTAAATGCAAAGTCTTCTTACGTCCATCATATTGAACGCATGTTCCGTTTTTGCAAGTCCCAATGTGTGGGGGCTCTCTAGGGTCATCTCTTAGAGTCTGCAAAGAAAGCGTTGTCTCTTAAATTCACATACCACAACAATATTGTTTCAAATAGTAATAATATAGAATCTAAAAAGCAAAGCTTCCGGGGTTCAATTTGTACGGCAACACAGATGTAACCGAAAACCAGGGTATTTCGAATATATTATAATATACCGCGGTCCCTTCGTGTAAAGGAATAGCGTCTTACGGGTAGAAACCACGGCTGCTGATATACGTCTAGGCTACGGTGATTAAGGCATATAGTACTCAGAGGCGATGTATTAGGATTGACGCTTATAGAGTACCTTCATTACAATGAGAATCGCGATCGTTATGTTTAACGTTTCCGGAAATCTAGTCCATAGGTAGGTTCTTCTAGAATATGCGTAAACAAAACCTTGCTTGTCTTGAACAACTTTGATTTGTACAAAATATACTTTTTTTTTTTGCAATAGGGACGGGAAATAGATTGAAGCGTAATATTTTTTCTCAGAGTATGCAGGCACTCCTACTCGGCAAGCCATATCAAGAAACCTAGTTATTCATTCATTTGTGCCCAGGAACCTAGTTATTGATTCGTTAGTTAAGGCCACTTTAGTTTTGATTGAGTCATGCTTTACGGAAAGAATATAGAGCCAATAAATCAACATATACGCATGTGCAAAAAAAACTGTCAGCGATAACTTGCGTTGAGCTGTAGCATCTTTTTTTTTTCGTAGATGTTACGTCACGGAACGTTACGTAATATCACAGCCGTAGTGCAAGGTAAGTTTACATCTTGACCAAATATCTTATTAAAACAGTAGAACTTCAGAAACCTTTTTTTCGCAGTCTTCTGCAGCTAAATTTATTATCGACCATATAAAGAAGCCTTAGGCGCGAAAACAAAAACAGAAAGTGAAGAAAAGTAGCTTGCAACTACATTACGGTGCTTGATTTAATTAATTTTGAACAGCTAAAAAGGCCGGTGAGAAGCAGACACACAAAACATGGAGGAACGCTAACATTCAGCTGGTTTAATCAAAATTTTGTTCAAGCTGTACACCCGCCTACTCTGCTACAGACCACAGTAAAAACCTAAGATATTTACGCCCATTACAGAATATATCTCGGAACGCTCGGTTTTAGAAAGAAAGTAACAAGAAATAAAACAAACTTGTAATTTTAAAAAAACTTATGGCTTGCCAAGGCACTTGTCAGGATATAAATAAATAAAACGCTTTAAGATTTTTTTTACAGTTTTAAAAGTTGCGTGATCGTCGACGAGCTGTTTGTGACAACTCTGTGACAACCCTGCATGCGTTGCAGGTGCGAACCACAGTTATAATTCACAAAACTGTTGTAATTGAAACGTCGCCGGTTTTTACTATGTACGCCTGCCCACAACTTAGCGGAAATTTTGAAACAATAATCGTGGGGCACGTTTTATACTGAGTAACGTGCTTGTTGAAACAATGACCGTGTTTTTATTTTGCCATCAAACGGCATATTTTTGACAGCTTGCAAGATTACACAAATACAGCACTCAGATAATAATTGCAGCTAACTTCTTGATGTTGAGTGAGAGCTTATGAGGAATTCCCTGGATTTTTTATTTCGACCGCATTGAGGGTCTTCTGTTGGACTCGACATTATTTTATGTGTTTTCCAACAACAGTGATGAACGTGGAAGAAGATCTGACAACTTTCCTTGTGACAAGTTATATTCTTCTATACAAATAAAAACATCGAACATCATTGGTCTTATGTAACAAGTAAGGCAGTTAAGAAATGTCTTCGCTCAAGTATTATCGAGATTGAGGAAATACTTTTTGTCACCAGTTATATAAAACGTATGAATCCGGAACTTTTCGTAGCATCGTCAAGGTAACATTCTCAAACAACGAAAACCATTAAGATAATTCCTCCTATTAGAAATAATACTCATAAATATGTAGATTTTTCAGACAAAATATTACAGTACACTCCGCATTACAAAATTCTCCGTTTAAATGAGCTGCGCTTATTGCTTGAGGATTGTACAATAAATGTCAATATTATAGGTTTAAGTGTTCTTATCAAATTATTACTGAAAAAAGGTTAAATGAGTTGTCGCACTGCCTCTACAATGTGACCAACACGTTTGATTTCAGTAATATTTTTATTTGTTTGTATAAATGAAATATATAATCTCATTTGAACCGGTGACTCGCAATATAAATATTGAATAAATAAATTCGATAATAAATGCCATAACGCTATGCAGTCATCTTGAACTCAAATATGTATGGCACGGTCATGCCTTGTACGTACATACATTTAAAGGTTACAAATGAAGGGAATAGGGGTAAACAAGATCTTAGTAATTGTGAAGCTATACTTACGATGCACGCGGTACCATCTTTAAAATTACCCCAATATTCTGTTAAATCTGTCAGTGGCCCATTATAGCAGCTGTAAGTGCAGGTCGGCGAATATCCCGGCTAGTTCACATGAAAAAGAAATTATTCAATAAATATGTTATAAAATGATATTATACAAAAATCATATAAACAGGGAGAACGTTTTAATTTATATAAAACAAAGTCGATGCGTATTTGTCTTTAATACTTCAGTTTCTAGAGGAATAAGAAGGAGAGCAGTCGTTCATTAATCCACGCGAAAAACTGCAGTGAACAAAAATGCTGAAAATAGGTATAGAGTTTAAATAAACGGGGTTTCTTTTAGAAGCTCCGTCCTTTTAACAATTTTAACTTTAAGCTAATAAAATCTCGATTGACTTTTAACGCGCTGTTGCCATAAAGGTAAATTTGTTGAGGGGGGTGTCTATATAAGGTCAGAAATTCGAATAATTATGGCATTCAGCTATTCACTTGTGTTTACTTAAATTATTTGTTCTCCATTAAAGGTTTTCGTTTCCGTTGTTGAGTATAAGGCAAGTGAGCACAGACGACCATAAAACTATAGGGCTAGCAAAATGAGCAAAACATGTCTCTCTGTGCTAGAGAGAGGTGGCGAGAATCTACAAGAGGCACTGATCACGTGTGCAACGAAACGCCGCCCCCTGACGTCATTATTTGTGGTTGTTTAGCAACCACCTCGACTTTGATTTTTTCATGTCGTTCCCGGTGGTTGCAAGTTGGCAAAGAGCAACATTCTCTTTGAACTCGTTTCTGCTTCTCTTCTCGAATGCAGAGAAGAGAAACAGAAAGTTACCAAACTATCGGCGAATTTGCGACAGCCGTAAAAAATTGCGGTGGCTTAGCTTGGCTATGCCAGGATATACGTAGCGTGAGCTTATGCGCACAAAATGAGAGGCGCGATCAAGCGGCTCCGGTGCAGCGTCAGACTTGGCTACTGCGCAACGGAGGCGCACAGCTGGGCACGCGGCGGCGCCAGTGTGCGCCGTGTGACGTCACTGCTCCTCGCGCATGCGCAGCACTAAGCACGGCTCATTATGCGAGCAACGCGAAACTGCTCATCCACGGCCAGTATAGCTGACGCTACAAAAAGACAAGGCAGCCATGAATACGGTAACAGACAATGTGGGAGCTTAGAACACCGACGCAGCTTCATCGCTTGCGCAAAAAGCTGGCAGTCTGTTGCCTCGTATAGGAACATACGGCACCAACTGTACCTTAAAATCAGAACTTGCGCTGTGACTTCACTGCACCGGCGATCCAAGGAGCAAACGAACTAACTTGGCGTATACAAAGATACACAGTAAAACAGAAGTTCGGACAAATATTGTATTCAAGAAAGAATCACCCTCAACAAAATATTGAAAAGCATTTCTAGTACTTTTAGGCATAGCCGAATACAGTGAGTCTGCGGAGTGTTAAGCTTCCAACAGGCTATATAACGTGAATCTGTATGTCTACATTGGTGTTAGTGAGGCTGTCCAGTTAGCTAAAAGTGTTTTACTTAGGATGGCGCTCATGGAGGTGTTTCTTTGAAAAATTAAAACATGAAAATTATACATCGAAGGTTAAAATGTGGTCAATACGAGCAGGCACGCTGTTATTTAGACGGGCACACTATTTCCTGTAAAGTTATGGAAGACAACAACGTTTGGGATAAATCTACTATATTTATGCATTTTCTGGAGGAAAAATAAGGCAACTTTATGCCTCTCCTAATTGTTTACCTTATTCTTTTTTTAATACGCTTTAGCAAGAATCTTGGTGCTGTTGTTTGTGGTTTAACTAAACGAAGAAGCCATTCGGAGACTATTCTATAAAGAACAAGACTATGCGTATTGTGGAGCCCAATTACTAGACAAGGTGAGAATAGGATGAATGATAAAAGTTATAGAGACGCAGGCATAGCGAGTTCAGAAGAGCGAAAATTTTGGTTAGAGGCAAGGTTACTAAAACACTCAGTTGGGAAACTCGCCGTCGAAACCTGGGCCGGTGGCGCCCACCGAGACCGAGCTAAATGCGACAACAGCGCCACTCTTTTTCGTTTGTCTGTTCTATGGTCACCTCGAGCTTTTTGAAAACCTGTTTTTTGCGTAAAAACAAACGGAAAACACTCTTTTTGTATGAAATTTATTGGAGTTTAGTACCAAATGATGGGCGCGTGATGTTTTTATCATCTTTAGTTCGCAAGGTTTTGCGGAACAATTAATATTGTTTTTATAAAACCATGCCTCAGCGGGCCTTTCAGGTAGCGCGTCCCGACCTAGGTGCATTTTAACTTCAGGAGTCCAACGCGGCGCGTCCGCCGGGGAGACGGGGGTTCACCCCCTGTCAAAGCCAAAAATAGAAGTCACGTGCAGTTCCTCGAGTGGCCGCTGCGGGAGAAATGGTGGCGTTGTGTTCGTCATTAGCTCGGTGCTCGGAGACAGATTGGGGCCATAATTTTAGGGCTGTCTCTATGGGAGTTTCCCAACTGAGTGTTTTAGTAACGTTGGTTAGAGGTGTTCTTCAATAATGATAGGGCCGGCTACCCTTATGGGGTTTCGAAATTAGTCCATCTCTACAGGCCGGAGGCCAGGGTGCTCGCCGGCTGCCAGGGCGCTGTGACGCCGGCTGCTCAAAATTACGTGCAAAGATTGGTTATGTGAGGTCTTGAATAGTCATGATAAGATGCCGTGTGATTGCATACTATTATACGTCATTTTGTAGTTAGCGCAAGTGACACTCGGTCGACGACGGTCGGAGGCGAGGGTTTTCGTAGCATCGGAGAGCGTTGAAAACCCTCGCCTCCGACCGTCGTATTGCGCGGTCGGACGTCGGATCGGACAGTTTCGTCGTACATGTGTTTCGCGCTTAAGTGCGCGACCTAAAAAATCCGTCTAATCTCAGTCAGAAATGTGGGTGATATACGAAAGGAATATAATTAGATTTTTCTTGCACAATTTAGAGTTGATTTTAACCCCTCGAATCTCAGAATATCATTACATATATAGGTTGCTAAAAGAAAGCCGAATTGTCGCAAATTTGTTTTGATTTAAAATTAAGGAACCAATTTTGGCGTCTGGTCACACAATGAAACACAACACATTCGTGATGATAAAGGGATATACCAAATCATCTCGGCCTGACGTGTGGCAAGTTATTTCGATTTTCACACACCCTTAGAAATCTGCTGAGACAAGCTCCTCATCAATAAAAAGCGTTACGTCAACGGTCGGGTAAAAGACTACGTAATGGATCTGAGCGCATAGCTAGCAATAAAAAGAAGGCCTCAAACCCACCTCCAACCTGCTGCTTTAGCTAAACCGAAATATAGCAGCGTCATATTTTTAGTTTTGGAAGCTTTCGATGATACACGCGATAAAAAAAAAAAGAGACATGCAGCTTTGTCAACGAAATTCGCTCTGATATTCCTATATTTACAAAAAATTGGCTAAAATGGGACGTTAATGACGATGAACCTTTCTTTATCAGCATACAAACTTTTTTTTTATCAGAATATTAACTTTCTTTAAACCGTCCTTCTTCCCTAGAAGAATGTAATAATCTTCCCTAAAAGTGTTTCCGAATAAAAATTACTGACCATCTTTAACGACGCGCTAGTCAAATTTGTCTTAGTCAGTTAGTTTCCCTGTATTGCCTTGGTGTGTTTTGTTTTAGTCATTTTTGTTTTGGGTTATTTCTGCCTTGGCGTTTAAATGAAAATGCTGGCAGTATAGGCAAATAAATAAATAAAGATCCCTGCCGTTTATCTCGACAACTGTTTAGGCCCTTTAGCTTTGGTCGTATCGCTTTTTCCTCTTACTTTTAATAACTGAGTTCCGCCTTTTGCCAGAAAAAAAGGGAATAATCTGGCAAAACACAGTACGAACTTTAGCTATTTGGAATGTAGATCAAGAAATTTTATTGGATTCTATCTGGACTTCAGGTTTCCAAAAAGATTGCGAGTTAGATTTCTTTTTCCAGGATCCAAATAGCAAAAATTTATATTGGATTTTGGAGATAATGTGTATTATCTCATACCATTTTGTATTCAAGTCAGGCTCTCAAAAAATGGTCACCGCTTGGTTCACACAAACAATATATTTCGCTCTTCATTTTTGTTTCTTTTTTTTGTCAATGAAAATGTTTTCGAAAGGAAACTTTTTATTCTACTTTAGTTCGTATTCGCAGAAAAATGTAGGGCAGTTGTGAAGTTAATTGATGCTTATTCTAGAACCGTTCTTCCAAGTCGATGAGAGTGCCTAGATTGCCAATCACCCTTTGATCCGCTTTGTGTACATCAGAATATAGAGGATTAAACATATTAAAATGCAAAACGCAAAACGCAAAACATATTTTAGAGAACGATAAATAATAAAAGAAAACGTTGAGGGCGAGGTCACTGTAGCTGTACGGGTTACATTCAAGCAGCAGACGTATTTTTCCAGGGTGGGTGGACGTTATTGTACAAAAATAAATATATTTAAGCTGATTCTGAAATAAAATTGGAATTTAGTAGAGAGAGCGTTAAGAGACAGAAGTATTTGAGAGTTCAATTAATGTGAGTCACATAAATAAAATGAATGTTTAATTTCTACCTGCGGCCAACAGAATAAAAAAAGTTATAGCATTTGTATCAGACGTCCAGTCATTCTTGGACTGTGCTTTTGAGAACAAAACGTCAATGGGAAAATAAAATCTGCTTTAAAAATCATTTGATGATTGTCACGTAAAAAAAAGAGAAACAAAGCATGCAAAGCAATGTAAAGGAAATGTAGCAATGTTTGAAAATATAAAAAAAAAGCATGAAGTGTAGTTTTACATTAATTATAGGTTCATAAAAAACGGAACGAGAACACTCTAGAAGAGTATGCTCAGGCTATTTGGAACTGCAAGCTGCGGAGATTAAACCGCCAAAAGAAATTACGCCATAAAGAACAGCATGCCGGTTCTTTTTCGGCGCTTTAATTCACACAACATAGCATAGAGAGCACTAAAATAAGTTTTAGAAATTTTTAAATGCCTATGGACTCCGATCGCTCTGTGTTACGTTTGAGATAAGAGGCAGGTTTGAGTTCTAAACTCGGACACTTAAGCCAGTTTGTTTCTAGATTCAGATTATTCCAGACAGTTCAAAAAGAAGTGCGATGAGCTTTAATACTGTGCTTTACCTATGATATCTTGAACCAGATTAAGTTATTCAGATAATACTGCTATGGTTTTTATGTTTCTCCTACATCTAAAAATCTGCCATAAACAAGCAGTGAAGTTGCGTCTCCTCATTCCTTTTGCTCTATCGAGAATGTTGAAGTCCCATTGACGTTTTCTTTTTTTCTATGAAAAAAAATAACCGTGGCCATACTGTTCTTTATCATAACTTTGCCGCTCAGTGTACAAGATATACAACAATTAAACACAAAGCTGTAGCTTACGCAGAAAAATGCACTAAATGATATACAAACACGGCTCATTAAGACAAGAAATTGACTACACTGCGATTACTCATAAGCAGTGAGAAATCACTTACGTTCTCGAAATCTTCGTCTGGACATCTCTTCAAGTCAGGATCAAGTTCAGCGCACGTTATTTGACCTGCTGAGTGGAGCACAAATAGGCCGAGATAAAACCCACGTGAAGCAATAATATATAATATTTGAGGGCTTACCTAGACAAGCGGCGATTACAATGAGAAGACTCGCGGCCGGCATTATCAGTTCTCACTAAGGAGTGAAATGTAAAGAACCGTAAACTAGTGCGATATCAGTTTGAGGTACGTGCTAAGGAAAAGGCTAGCGCTGTCTCTGTCTGCAGTCGGTAGGTAATCCCCATTTTTATACATGAGGTTGTGTGAGTTAAGACACGTGTACCTATAACAATAATAGACAAAGAGATCAGGGCGCTCGCCTTATAATGTGACTTGCGAAAGTTAACAGATATGTAATGGGTTGACGTTCCTGCACCTGCTATGCGTGATCGTACTCTGAACAACCCAGCTCCGAGACTTGGACCTGTTGGAAGGCTCGATAACAATGGTTGTTTGTGAAACTAAAGAAAATGTGCCTAAAAAGCGTGCTTGTGCCGAGCGAAATGAGCTGTGTGAGAGAGTTTACACTGTTACGTAATGTAAAAAAAAAGTAGATTATACACTTTGCGATAGTACCTGTGGAAACAGCGTGCCAGAAATACCGTATGAAAGAACATTTTTTCCTACAAAATTGGTGGAAAGGATTGATTGTTTGGTTTATTATTTTAGCCACGATAGAATTTGTGGAAGAATGTACGATGAGCGTTTATTGTGGAGTTCTTATGAATATAATCAAGTCTTATATTTGCAGAATTCACAGCCAAACTTTGACAATACTGAAGCCTACAGACTTCTTGGTAAAATATTGCAATTCAAGTACGAAGCACGTGGTGTACAGTCTCCGTCAAACGTAATGCTCTAACGGACCCCTACACTATTGAGCAATTTTCCGCAAGTCGGGCATTGACCTGTCGGCGAAGAAGCAGCTCTTGCTATCCTGTTTGTAACAGTGACCAATGTTTTAGATTGTAACCGCGTACGGTGGTGGCTATTAAAATGGCGCCAAACACGACTTATGCGGGCTAACAAATGGCGGCAGTTAGTCTAAAAGCTAGTTTATTTTCTATCTGAAATGTAAGAAATATTGAAAGATTTACTTGTAAAACGAACATAGCAAAAAAAACAAAAAAAAAACAAAACGTGCATTTAAGTTAAAATGGGGGCGACCCAATACCGTCTAAAACTCGGCTGCAAATTTTATTTTGGCGCGTCTCCTTCGCACAGGGTGTCTTTGTAAGATTAACAGATTTGTTTTAAAAAAGATCCTTGAAAGTTACACTTTTGCGGTTTGTGCAGGCGAGTTATACGGCCAGGGGGACATAATATGAAAGCTAATCGTAGCAATCTGTCGGCTGATTAGGTTAAATTCGTTAGTTAACTTGTAATTAGTGAAAATAGACACATGATTCTAATAAAATAAACTAGCTGAGCGGCTTCAAAATCCGCTATATCAATAATTTTGAGACTGAATTTGAGCGGGTGAGAAGCGCATTGGTGCGCAAAAGTAATCGTTCGCGCAGCAGGATCACAGCTGCCGGAGCGATAACGTGCCTGCGCGACGTTTTCCGTTTCTTATCGTAGACCCCGCCTTGGTACCTGTTGCAGAAATGGTACCTTTAGTGCACTACCACCCTCCCCACGCGGTCAAACTATTTTTAAAATTTATTGATTTAGTAATTTTCGATGACGCTTAGCAAGTTTTAATTGAACCATGTCTTTGGACTTTTCCATCTCTGTAGTTACTTGACGAGTGGACAGAGGGCGTTTGCCCATAACGTGGCTTCAATTTGGTTGGTTTCGATTTCAACGGGCTCGTGGCCGTGGTGGTGTATTATGTCGTATTCACTTAGCTTTGTAATCACGTGGATCACGTAATCACGTGGACAAAAAGGATCACGTGGCGGCGGCTATCGCCCGACACGTGATCATTTTAGTCGATGACGTCGCTAGTCAGTGGATAAAGAGGCGCTACTCGTGCTTGGTGAATACGGGTGTCAGTTTTATTCAGTGATTCGTCGCCTCATCGATCGTCATTCGTTTCAATATTGTTTCATTTCGTTTCTTTAAAGCTGACACGAAGCGATTTTTCTATTTTCGCTAACTACTACTTAGAATCACTCTCTAACCTTACGAACTGAATAAACTTGCCTTAGTTTTTCTTCCTAGGCAATGGCAGTCGGCAAAAAAATTCGAGCAATATGAGCATCGTTCGTCCACTGAACTCGGGGCCAGAGCTAGCGGCCACGTGGCCTGGTGTAACATGCCAATTTATAAAAATAAATCAGATCTACTGCACAATAGTGAACTAACCGACACCGCAAAACGTGCAAGCAGTGCGAGCGGGTAGCGTCGACTTGGGTTGCCACTGGACGAGGATTGGTAATCCGAAACGCATTCGAACCCAAGAAGCTCTTCCTGTTGTCTGACATTGTGCAGGGATTACACAGCATCCAATAAAAGGCCCACTTTCGAAAGGGGTGAATCATAGTCACGCGCTGGGGTTGGCAAAGTAGAAAACGCGCGAGGAGCTCCAGGCATTGTTAGAGTTCGGCTATTCTCCGGACCGCGTTAGTTAAACACGAGCTACTCACTACCCGAGCGTCCACCGAAGCATTCATTGTTACGAGCCGAAATCGAGTGTTCGAGCCGAAATTGAGTGATCATGCAGTTCTCGTGCCCAAACCATGAGCCATGCTCGACTGCGGTCAGACGGGTGGTTTCGGTCCCACAGTTACGTTATTAAGCTTTGCGAAGGCAAGCCTGAGAGAAATAGTCCCATTTTATTCTCGCAGTTTCCCTGCTACAAAAAGCTTCTGAATCAGTGGCGGTCTGTGCGAGTATACCTGGGCCAGACTAGGACCAGCACGCCTCTGCAAAGTAAGAAATATTCCAACTCGATATCGTTTCATGACCCCTTTATCTAAATTCAGTACTCGAGAGATGGTTTGATGGTTCATCCTAGGCCGCGTAGGAAATTGTTTCCAAATATCAGCCCGACTAAAGTATTTATTATCAGTATTTTCAAAGTTCACCTCAGGAAACTATTTGTTGTACGAACATTTCCTTAAAACGTATTGCGACAAACCTGTCAACTGAAGTCTGAAATCCTCCTTCCATACGATTTTCAAAATGAAATTAAATGTTGCAAGAGGATTAACCTCCAGCAAGCTTGTCTCTAGTCACATGCAAGGCATCACTTGATGGATTTCTGTAGACAAATCTTTATTTGCTTAAAACATTTGCACGTTTTACTTTCACCAGCCTCGACAATATATCCGCCATTGAGGACGCTGCACTCTAGTGCAGTGGCTCTCAACTATTGAAGTTTCACGGACCCCTTGTAGATCGGCGGAAATGATGAAGGCCCCCGTTTGTGGAAAGGGAAGGGGGAATAGAAATGTATAGATTAATTATGATAACGATTTAAAAACTTAATATAACAGTGCTAGTGTGAAGTACACCTCTCTCATTGGCATATACATGATAAAACGCTGCTAAAAATTGAAACGTCTCTTCTCAATCTGCAAAAAGTCAACTTTTGTTGCCGGTTTTCACTAATGAGACAGCGCTTCGCGGACCCCTTCTTTCCGGCGTCACATATGGCGTCCCTCACCCGCTTTGCCAGGCCCTCACAAGGTGTATTTGACACGTTTGTTACCCGGAAAGCCCAAGCCTTCGTGTTTAAATAAATCATAGAATTGCATATCTTAAGGAAATTGAATGACAGTAGACATCCCTTACAGAAATGTCATATATGACCCAGATATATTTGATATAGGGCCGTATACGGGCATATAAGTAGACATATACGGTCATATATTGCCATACAAGGGCTGAAATTAGGGCAGATATGGTAAGGTGACACCATATATGACGACATATATTGCCAGATAAAGCCCTATATGGTGCCAGTGGCTGCCATATATAACAGTATAGGATGCCTGATACTCCTGTATGTGGCACTATATGGTGCCAGTCAACATGTAGATGCAGGTAGCACTCCGCGTCGGCCGGTATCGGGACTACGCCGGCCCGCCCATGGTAACAGGATGGCAGCACCCGGCAATAGGCACCGGGGAGCTACCGGCCCCGGCCGGCGTCGGGGTTTCGTCTTGCTCGCTGGCCAGTCCAGCCGTAGAACTGGCCGGCATCGGGTGTTTGCTGTCTTTGCTGAGTAGTCTTTCCATGGAGGTTCCAGTAACTGGCCGGCATCGGTATTTTGCTGTTTTTGATGGGCAGTATTTACATATAAGTTCAGTGACTGGCCGGCATCGGCGCTTTGCTGTTCGCAGGCTGGCGAGCACCGGGAACTTCCGTTTACTAACCGGCATCATTCTATTTTTTTTGCCTTTTTTAGAAAACTATGCAGTCATGTCATTGAGATTCTGACAAACTGCGGCGATTCATATGTAGCGAGTGGAAATGTCTGCGTTGACCAATCTTTCGTAAATGACTGCAGACGCTGGCGTATTCGAAAAGGCTGACGTGTTTTATCGCGAAAACGCGAAAAAAACAAAAAAAAAAAAAACAATGCCGTGAGGAATATTTCCAGCCCAGGATTTGAGAATCTGACCCCTTACGCCACGAAAATTAAATTTTACAACGCCGAACGATACTTTTTTCAGGAAGTTAGTTTAATTTGATGTACTATACTTAAGGTCTGGCGTTATACGCACGTGTTTGGCTCTGATAAAAAAATAAAAACGGTATAGCGGAGCCTCGAATGAAAAAAGAAAAAAGACGTGGCATGATTGAGCACGCGCTTTGAGCTACAAAAACAATAATAAACATTACTTTCCAGAAACTAGAAAAGTAAGAGATGTGTTTATGGCTTATGACGCTACGAGAGGTACATAAATCTCCTGAGAGATCATTTTATTGGTGATTTTAATCTAGTGTGAAAATATGCTATTTCAGGCAGGAATCGACTGTTTTCCGTGGTAGTTACGATCATCTAAGAGAAATATTTTAAATGTTCACATAGCCAAACGATATCTGTCTCTTTAATAGCTTATGTTATACGACGTACCGTACCAGGGGAACGCGAACATAAAAACTTCTTTTCTTTACTCAAAAAAGCGAGAAACACCAATGCGTTGTGGATGTACACACTGCTGGGTTTGT